GTGCCTAGGCAATGATCTTTTTGCGATAAATTTCCCAGGTGTTCTTTGAGCTGCTTTGTATTTAGATCTCTAGCAAAGTTGGGAAGTTTTCCTTGATTATTCCCTCAAATATGTTTTTCAAACTTGTTGATTTCTTCCTCAGGAACACCATATTCATAGTTTTGATCATTTAACATAATCCCAACTTCTTGGAGGCTTTGTTTGTTTATTTATTTTGATTCTCTTTTCTTTCTCTTTGTGGATTGAGTTAATTCAAAAACTTGTCTTTGAGCTCTGAAATTCTTTATTCTGCTTGTTGGATTCTATTGCTGAGACTTTCCAGTGCATTTTGCATTTCTGCAAATGAAGTGTGTCCTTCATTTCCAGAAGTTGTGATTATTTTTTATTTATGCTATCTAGTTCACTGAAGATTTTTCCCTTCATATCTTGTATCACTTTTTTGATTTCATTAAGTTGGACTTCACCTTTCTCTGCTGCCTCCTTGATTAGCTTAATAATCAACCTTCTGAATTCTTTTCCTGGCAATTCAGGAATTTCTTCTTGGTTTCAATCCATTGCGATCCATTGCTGATAAGCTAGTGTTATCTTTTGGGGGAGGGGGGTATTTAAGAACTTTGGTTTTGTCATATTACCACAATTGTTTTTCTGGTTCCTTATTTGGGCAGACAATGTCAGAGGGAAGTTCTGAGGCTCAAGGGCTGCTGTTCAGATTCTTTTGTCCCACCAGTTGTTCCCTTGATGTACTGCTCCCCTTCTTCCCCTAGGGATGGGGCTTCCTGAGAGCCAAACTGTAATGATTGTTATTTCTCTTCTGGATCTGGCCACCCAGCAGAGTTACCAGGCTCCAGACTGGTAGTGGGGCATGTCTGCACAGAGTACTGTGATGCAAACTGTCTTCAGGTCTCTCAGCCATGGATAGCAGCACAGTTTTCTGCTGTCTCTGGGGCCTGCCGGAGCAATCCGCTTCCTTCAAGGGTCTGTGGGTTCTCCTGATCCACCTTTGTCTCACATTACCTTATGCTGGTGCCTCTGCCTAGAAGATCCTCTTTGTCCTTCAAAACTCGTCATCCAAAAAAAAAAAAAAAAAAAGATTCAGCTTAGATATCACCTTCTTTGGTGATGAGTAAAGCCTCCGTGTCAATTACTTCTTCCTCTGTGCCCTTGTGGCACTTTGTTCATATAGTTAAAGTGGTATTTCTTATGGTGTGTTTTAGTGTCTATATTGTAATCTCAAGGGCAAGGTTTGTATCTTATTCATCTTTCTGTTCCTGGTTCTGTGTGTTGCTTGACAGAGTGGGGGTTAAGTAAATGTTGCTAAGTTGTATGGTGTTAACATCTAAAAATTAGGAAGGTAGTAAAGGATTCATTGGGCAAAGAGAAAAATTCTTATTTTTCCATCTTAAATGTATATTCTTCTGGTGTTTCACTTAGTTTCTCTTTTTTCTCCCCTTAGTATACAACACACTCATTTGTGTTTCTCAGACAACTGATACTTCATTTTCCTTATATAAAGATCACCAACTTGTAATAGCTGTGTCCAGAGTCATAAGCTAGTAAGGTGGTGGAAGTGAGGTTTGTCTGCCTTAAGTGCTCAGACACGTAGCTACTTGGCCACTCCTTACCATGTGTGTCCCCATGAATAAGTTACAGAGTTTTCTGAGTCTGTTTATAAGTGTAAATAAAGGATAATAATAGCACCTACCTCATAGGGTTCTTGGGAGAAATGAATAAGAATATCTATGTGAACACTTAGAGCTTGGCCCAAAGTAAGTACCCAATAAACAGAGCTGCACCATCAATTATTATTACTACTTTATGTTATGTAGGAGACATACGGATAACCTTTCTTTTCTTAGTTTAGACTGTTAGAAGTCATGGAAATTAAGAGTTTTGGCCCATCTTTAAAAGCCGTCTGCCAGTCCACACTTTATATAGTCTTAGAATATTACATTTGGAAGGGATTTTGGAGGCCAAGTGGTCTAACAGGTGCTTATCCAAAGCAGCAGTCCTCTCTGCAGTTTTCAGTCAATGGTGATTAGTCATCTAGAGACTGTCAGAGCATTTATAGTAATATAAGTTGCCACTTTAGAAGGAACATGTGATTGTTTAAAAATCATGTATGGGGTGCTTTTTTTTTTTTCTTCTTTTTTTGGTTCTGTGTTCTGTAAGATTGTAAAAATCCTTTATTCACACTGTAATCCTTAGTCCTTCAAAATACCTGGACAGACTAACCTCTGTAGTAGTGGTTCTCAAAATGTGGCCCAGGGATCCTTTTTAACTCAGACACTTTCCCCAGGAATCTTTCTTCTTTTATCCCCTTTCTTTTAAATCAGAGAATCTGTGAAGACCCTGGTCGTGTAGACTAAGTTCTTTTTGTGAATTTTTCTGTAGCAAGACTCAATGACCTAAAAATGTTTAAGAATCACTGGCTTGGACATGCTTGTGATTACATTTTGCCCTTTGATGAATTATGACATATGCATCTCAACAGGACAAAAAAAAAAGGATTAAGAACCACTGATTTTTAGTTTTATCATAATGATAAGAAAGTTATTGAATAAAATGGTTAGGAATTACACAAAAAGGGGGAAATCTGAGAGTTAAAACAGAGATAGAGACATAAAGTTCACCTGTGTCCACTGAGCCACTGCCCTGACATCTTTTGTAGAAGCCTTCTGTCTGCTTAGGGAATGGTTTCTGACATAATAAGGGATGCTAAGCAGAAAGTAAAGTGGTCTTTTTTTTTTTTTTTTTGAAAACATGTATGCTCCAGAATAAGGAATAACTGTTTTGTCTTGCAGTGGATAATCACTTTAGTTAAACATATATAGTATTGTGACTGTTATATATTCAAATACACACATATGCACACATACAAATATGGTGCTTAACATAGTCCTATATCCCCTTCAAGATCAACCCCATCCCTGTTTGTTTTTCCCTTGCTGTACCAAGTCATATACTGTGCTTTTGTTAATATAATAGATAATATTCTCTCCTCAAAATAGTCATCCTGCCTCCTTAAGACCACAAAATGTTATCACATGGGAAAGCACTATTGGAGTGCAGACTAACTGAGAAGTAGGCAGAAAACCTTGTAAGTTTGCTTTTCTGAGTTCTCTTTAGATCATTGTCACCCCAAATGAATTTCCTTAGCAAGTTTTGATAAAACTCATCCACATTTATGTTTTGTTTTTGTACACAACTATCTGTCTTGTCATTAGCCAATTAAATAATCACAGTAATGCCTATGAGATATGTAACATTTCCATAATTTTGCACAATATCTAAAATAAAAAGTATAGCTATACATATATTTTAAAATTCAGTAGAGGGCACAGTACCATATATTAAATATGCTAAAATTTGAATAAAAGTGTAAACTATGTTTTAAAACATTTTTGTGGTTTTTTTAAACTTAAATTGATAAAATCATTGAAGGTATCCTAATAATGAAAGTTGCAGGGGACATAATTGTTTTATATTTTTGAAACATACATTGTGCAGAGTTAAGAGGGGAATTGAAGGCAGGGACACATGCTGATGCCTTTAGCCTTTTCTTTTTTATTTTTCAATATAAATATGTAAGGTGCCTTCTCTGCCAGTGAGCTACCTTCTTCAATGCAAATTAAAGTCTGTATGGTGTATGGACTTAATAAGGTGAACTAAACATTGCTTTTTTATCCTCTCAGAACTTCTACTTAAGGATTGGCATAAAGTGAGAATTCCTCCAGTATTGTCCAACCTTTCTCACTTAGGATTTGGTACTGCATCGTGCCCAAGTGGGTGTTGAATAAATGCTGTTTGATGATGATAAAGTAATTTTTTTAGGACGAATTCTCTTTATGTTTATGTGGGGCACAGTTCTCAGAGGGCTCTCAGAGTCTTTGGAAAACAGAAATCTTGTTTGAACTTCAACTGTTGTACTGTATAAATTTTGCCTGTTAAGCTACTATAATTTTATATGAATCTTCTTTTTTTTTTTTTTGAGACAGAGTTTCACTCTCGTCACCCAGGCTGGAGTGCAATGACGCAATCTCAGCTGACTGCAACGTCCGCCTCCTGGGATCAAGCAATTCTCCTGCCTCAGCCTCCTGAGTAGCTGGGATTACAGGCATCTGCCACCACACCTGACTAATTTTTGTATTTTTAGTAGAGACGAGGTTTCACCATGTTGGCCAGGCAGGTCTCAAACTCCTGACCTCAGGTGATCCGCCTGCCTTGGCCTCCCAAAGTTCTGGTATTACAGGCGTGAGCCACCGTGCCCAACCATGAATTTTTTAAAAATTGGTTTATTTGGCACGGTGCAAAATCCTGTAAACATTTTAATGTAATATAGCGGATTTTAACTAGAATATTTAGGAAGAATAAGAGTCATTGAATTTGAATAATAAACACAAAGACTTTCCAAGGGTGTAATTTGAGTTTAGGAGTTTTATGAATAGGACTCATTCACTGTATGTTTACTCACTGCTAAATGACAAGATAATTGTTATTGCATAGAGTGTTTGAAAAATTAGAACGGTAGCACAACATCCTGAAATTGTCTCTGTGTAGATATGTATTGTCTGAATGCATGTGGCAAGCAGTTTTATTTTGGACTCGTGAAAACATTAATTTCTAAACATTTTCTTAGTTTCCTTTAAATCAACAAACTTCATGAGAAAATATCACTGTTTCCTTGCAGGGTGGGTGTAGGAAATGATGTATTCTGCTCCAAGATATGCTTTGGGGAAATTACTTGGAAGTCAAGGACTCTCAAGTAGAAAAACTTCAACTTCAATTTGTTATAACATGTTCTATAAATCTATTAAATCTTGACAAGTGAAGACATGTAAATGTGGCATTCGAAACAAAGAGCTGTAGAGGTTTTCCCCTTTCACAGTAGGGTCACTTACTAGATAATTTGCATTGATTGAATATTTGAAAAATAGTCTAGAATAATTGTATTATCTTCTTACTTTCTCATCATTAATGTTGTATATATTACTTTCTTTCAGTTGGATATGTCAAGTGACCAGATAGCTGCCAATCTACAAGCAGTTATTAATGAAGTTTGTAGGCACAGACCACTGAATTTGGGTAAGTGGTTTGCTGAGGGTAGACTTCCCTATGACCCCGCGATACTTTAAAATGTAAAATATGAAGAAAAAAGTCAAGTTAACATGCAAGTATAATAGCAAAGTGTAAAATATTAAATAAAATATCAAGTTAACATGCAAATATTATATTTCCAGGGATTAGATAAATAAATTTAATTCTCCAAAGGATTTCTCTAGCATTAATGAGGAATGCATCCTGAAACCTTTGTAGATTCCCACATTATTACTACTAATAAATGTAGCAAAGTTTGAAAGAAAACCGTAACTGATTGCTTTAAACTTACAGTGATGTTAGGGACTAAAATTATTTCTAAGATGACATTTTGAAGCCAGATCATTAACTTTGTCATTGGCACTAGCAGTTGGTTTTCTTAATCTTATTTATTTATTACAGGAAAGAAAGAAGATCATTTTATTGTGTCATGAGAGTCATTTATAAATGAGGTGATTCATAGAGAATCACTCAACTCAGTTGAGATGCGAAAACGGTGTTGTAGGCTGGAACACAGGTGTCCAGTTTCTTTGTCATTGTGTTGTGTGCTGTTCAAATTCCTTCCTCAGACAAATTTCACTTGTGGATGGTTGAAGCCAAGCAAGGGTCCATTATACTCGATTGATTATTCATTTGTAGGCTTACCATGATAAGAATTTGTCAGGTTTACTTTTATAACCAAGTTTATAATTAAAACACAATCTTAAGCTATTTTTCACCTTCTTTGGGAGTTAACCATACTGGTGAATAAATATCACCCTTGTTAATTCTCTTGTCCTAAATATGGCCATACTACTAAGTAATTGGATGTGTATGGATTCTTATAGTCCACAGAGAACTTTGATTTCAGTACAGGATTCTCTGAGACCATAGTAGGAGTAGATGATGGACAGCAAATCCTCAAAATGTTGTTATTCTCTTTTTGCTATTTCATATGAAGCCCCCTTAGCATGTTTAAATGTTGTGATTCTCTTTTTGCAACTTTATTTTATTTTTTGAGACAGGGTCTCACTCTGTCGCCCATGCTAGAGTGCAGTGGCTCACTGCAACCTCCGCCTCCCAGGTTCAAGCAATTCTCCTGCCTCAGCCTCCCAAGTAGCTGGGATTATAGGCGCCTGCCACCATGTCAGCTAATTTTTGTATTTTTAGTAGAGATGGGGTTTCATCATGTTGGCCAGGCTGGTCTCGAACTCCTGACCTCAGGTGATCCACCCACCTTGGCCTCCCAAAGTGCTGGGATTACAGGTGTGAGCCATAGTGTCTGGCTGTCTTTTTGCTATTTTAAATGAAGCCCCTTAACATTGTTCTTATGAAAAGCATTTTAGTTTTTAGGGAACTTTACCAACTGTGTGGTAACACAAAGGTAGCATCTGTGCTGACTGTTTTAAATAAATATTTATAATATTTCCATCAAATGTAAATATCACCACCTGTTCCTTTCACTGTTGACTTTGCAATAAAATAAATTGTAGGTGATCATCTTCTGGAAGAGAGAAATGAATTATTAGTGAGTATATGTAGTTTCAAGGATAAATCTCTAATATTCTAGAGTACAACTAGTTTGTCTTATATTCTAGAAATGAAACTATCTTCCTCTTATAATTCAAAGTGTTATACAGTAATACAAAAAGTTTAGTAATACAGTACTCTTCATGTGAAAATATGACATGAGTTCTGTAAGTTTTCCTGCTGCATATTTGTACAGCATGTCCTTGAATAATATCCTTTTGTCCAATGTTATTTCATTATAACATTCATAAGAAAAAAATAGATTCCTGGCCAGAGCCACTGTCTGTGTGGAGTTCGCATGTTCTCATGTCTGCATGGGTTCTCTGGGTACTTCGGTTTTCTCCCACATCCCAAAGATGGGCATATTAGGTTAATTGGTATGTCTACGTGGTCCTGGTGTGAATGAGTGTGGGGGGTGTGTACGTGTGCCCTGCAATGAGATGCTGCTTATCTGGAGATCATTCCCACCGATGCTCTGACCTGCCGGGATAGGCTTTGGCCTCCCGCAACCCTGGACTGGAATAAGGGAGTTGGAAGATGAATGAATGAATGCAAACTATTGTAAAATAGAAATGTGCAAAGTATATGATGATCATACAAATGTAGGACAATAAATGATGTGGTATGAAAGCACTCAGGGAGCCAATCATATTTGTTAGTTTGTTTTTGAACTGCATGGTGGCAGATGGCGCTTCTTACGGTTTTCATTTTGCAAACACTTAGTCTTTGATTTAAGTCACCACCACTATGACTCCTGTCACTCTGATTTACCAACAGTTGGGTAAATAATTATTGCTTTTATTAATCTTAAATGTATTTATAGTTCAAATTTATTTCAGTGGTTAATATTAGAAGTGTTTGAGCTCTTTATTTAGAAGCTTGGTGATATTTTTGTGACTAGCAATTTGTCTTCAAAACTTAACTCTTATTAATTAGCCTATGGTACAATTGATTTCTCTATAAGTTGTTTTGCTTAAAGTTGCAGTTTCCAAGAACCTAGTGACAATATTTAGTGAGGGTTTACTGTATTTGCTCATGAGGTGGTATTGTGATATAAAATCAAAGTTGATTCTCATTTTTGTTTCCAGGTCCCTTTGTGATACGTGCTTTCCTTCGTAGTTCAACAAGTGAAGGTTTATTACTGAAGATTGATCCATTGTTGCCTAAAGAAGTAAAAAATGAAGAAAGTAAAAAAGACATCTAAATGTGTTGAATTGTGAAATTACTTTAAGTGGTTTAAGAAGCAATGGAGAAAATTATGAAACTGCATAATTTTTACATTTGATGTCTCGTTATTGATCATACTTGAAAGTGAACTTTAACACTGAAAAATCTTAGTCATTTCAAGAATAAGAAAATAAAATTTTCTCTTTGTCTGAACCTGCCTTTTAGACCCTGTGACATTTTCTTTTTTAGAATCCAGAGTCTACATATTGGTAATTATAGCAGCAGTTTCTAGCTTCATAACTTTCCCTTGGGAGTCATAACCATCTGAGGGAATGGTAACATCCTCAGTTCCCATAAAGCAGAAAATGGCAGAATCATGAGGTACATCACAAAGATAACTATTTTCTTTAAAAAAAAAAAAGGAAGGAAAATATGCATTCCAAAGAATTCTGAGTACTATTTTTGATAGCATGAATATAGAAAATTGCTAAGTCACTAAAACATGTGTTGGGTTATCTCTTTTTAGGAATCGGTTTGTAATTATATATATAATATGTATATGTAATATATAGTTATATATTATGTAATTATGTAATATATGTAATATATATTATATAATTATATATGATAATATATACATTTGTAAAATACCACATATTTTTATGATGCTTTGCAATCTACAAGGCACTGTATCCAGTGTTTTCATATACGTGACCTCATTTGCTCCTGAATTTCTCTGCTTAATAGTATAACAAGTGTTTGGTTAGTGTTTGTCGAATGAACATTCCCATGAAGTAGCTAGAACAACTTCATTCATGGATTAAAAATCAGGACAAGAAGTAAAGCATCTTGCATCAGGTACCAGTTTGCAGACCGATATTAATCCTTAAGTGCTTACTGATTTATGACAAAATGAAAAAAAAAGTAAGGATTATTTTGGCATGCAATTGCCAGCTGTCCTTTCTTGGGAATGATTACTTGAAGTATCTTCCACCTTTTTAGGGGTTATTTGAATGAATTTTCTTTTATGAAATAATAGTGATGGTGAATTTGTTGGTGGGGTTTAAATACCTAGTTTGTTTTTGTTTTGTTATTATTTTTTTCTCATTAATGAGTCTCATTTTATTTTAGTTTTGGTGTTGACTCACCAGCTCTAGCTTTTCAAGGTAAAATCTTTTTTGAAGAAGAGCTGGGTAACACAATTCTCACAATTACAAAATGTATTATTTTAAAACAATTAGATTTCTAATAACACAAATTATTTTGATTCATTTTGCATTGATCTACTTGGGAACCATAAATCTGCCTAGAACACAGAGAATTAGCACACTCAACTTGGCCAAGGAATAGACATGTTTCAAGATGAAATTCATCACTACCAATGAAGTATTTATTCTTGCCAAGGCTGTTCTGCTTCAATCTAATCAAGCTTATAGACCTACATCTCAGTTTACAGAAGATACAAGAGATGGAGGTACAAATCAACTGACCTCAAGTGGGAATAATTAGGCCAATTCAGAATGTGGGATGTGATGCAGTTCAACCCTCCCAGCCTCATAGAAACAAGCAGAAGGAGAAACCATTAAAGAGAATTCAGACGTAACAATTAATGTGGGTTAGTGATTAGAGTGTAGTTTGAAAACATCAGCTATACAAGACATTTGAGGGAAAGTGGATTAATACCTACTTTGTAAAGAAAATTTTGACAGCTCCATATAGGTCTCCCAAATTCTTTTTGAGATGTTAGTGATCTGAGAATTCCAAATGACTGAATAGCCACAGTACCCCACTAAGCTTTTTTTTCCCCACAGGAAAATTAAAACTTAGGGTTTGCTTACCCAAAACAGCAATAACATTACTAGAAAACAATAACAGCAGTTACCTTTTATTGGGTGCTGCTATGGTTTGAATGTGTCCCTCAAAAAGTATGTGTTGGAAACTTAATCCCCAATGCAACAGTGTTGAGAGATGAAGCCTCATGGGAGTTACAAGTCGTGACAGCTCTGCCCTCATGAATGAATTAATGCTGAGTATAGTCATTGGAGATTCCGAAGAGAGGGAGGGTGGGAGGAGGATGGTGAGGGTTGAGAAATGAATAAGTACAATGTACACTATTTGGGTGATGGTTACATTAAAAGGCCCAGGCCACCACTAAGCAATATATCCTGTAACACAACCATACTTGTACCTCTTAAATTTATACAAATTGTAAAAATAATAATAAAAGGGCTTAAGACTGCAAGGAACTCTTGGGCATACCTTGCATGCTTGCTTGCTCTCTCTTCCTCCCTGGCTCACTTCCTCTTGCCCTTTCTTGCCCTTCTGCCTCCTGCCATGGTATGACTACAGCAAGAAGGTTATCACTAGAAGCCAGCTCCTTCATCATGGTCTTCCAGCCTGCAGACTGCAAGAAATTAATCTCTATGCTTTATAAATTACCTTCTCAGGTATTCTGCTATAACAACACAAAACAGACTAACAAATGCGTACTACCTTCTTATACTTTAGATGCATCCTCTCATTTCATCCTCACAGCAATTCACTAAGCAGAGTGGTACTCCCATTTCACAGGTAAGGAAAATGAAACTTCTGTGACGTGTCATAAGTGGCAAACTAAGATTTAAACCCGAATCTGTTTAATTTTATTTTATTTATTTATTTATTTATTTATTTATTTATTTTTTGAGACAGAGTCTGGCTCTGTCGCCCGGGCTGCAGTGCAGTGGCCGGATCTCAGCTCACTGCAAGCTCCGCCTCCCGGGTTTACTCCATTCTCCTGCCTCAGCCTCCCAAGTAGCTGGGACTACAGGCGCCCGCCCCCGGCTAGTTTTTTGTATTTTTTAGTAGAGACGGGGTTTCACCGTGTTCGCCAGGATGGTCTCGATCTCCTGACCTCGTGATCCGCCCGTCTCGGCCTCCCAAAGTGCTGGGATTACAGGCTTGAGCCACCGCGCCCGGCCGAATTTTAAAGACCTTAGTCTCTTTTAGCCATTGGGCTATTTTACCTCTTTTTAAATATATATTCTAAGATCAACCATTTAATTGAGCAGCTTTAAAATTTTAAAATATTGAATAATTGCCTTCAGTGTCTTGGTATTTCTAGTTAATGAATTATGGCAGGGCCGATGTGAAGAAAGTAGAAGTAGAAGAGTTAGAGTGGGATGAGGAAAGAGTAATACAGGATGGAGAGGAAAAGATACGTACCTGTTTTCCACAGTTACCATCTTTTGAAAGCTTACAGATTAATCATTATTTGAAGATCTCAATTTACAAAGTAGAAGCTCTGCTATTTGTAGATTTTCTTTTAATTAATGGATAAGTATAGTCGTTATTGAAAAAATTAAAAATACTGATTAGATATTTTAAAATTCATAATCTACTACTGAATGATAACCAGCATTAATATTTTAGTACTTTGTTGTCTTCGGTTGTGAGTGTGTATGTATCCGTGTGTGCACATGTTATAAAGTAAGCATTTCGTATATTTAAAATGCCATATGAGGCTGGGCGCGGTGGCTCATGCCTGTAATCCCAGCACTTTGGGAGGCCGAGGCGGGCGGATCACAAGGTCAGGAGATTGAGACCATCCTGGCTAACACAGTGAAACCCCATCTCTACTAAAAATACAAAAAATTAGCCAGGCGTGGTGGCGGGCCTGTGTCCCAGCTACTTGGGAGGCTGAGGCAGGAGAATGGCGTGAACCCGGGAGGCAGAGCTTGCGGTGAGTCAAGATCGTGCCACTGCCCTCCAGCTTGGGCGACGGAGTCTCCGTCTCAAACAAACAAACAAAAAAGCCATATGAAAAGCATCATTTTAATGGTTGAACAATAGTCCATCCTGTTGATGTTTAATTTTATGGAATCATTCCTCAATTGTTGTACATTTAACTACAGGATCCCCTTCCTCCCATTATTTGCAGTGCTTTGGAGAAATCATTGGAGTGTAATTTATTTTCTAAGTTTTAGAAGTGGCATTCCTGGGTCAAAAGGTCTGATGTGACTAAAAGGCCTTATTGTGTCTTAGAAAGGTAACTTATTGAGCAGAACAAACCAGAATAAGGAAATATGATTCGAAAATTTGCTCTAGGCAGGAACATTCCAGGGTCTGAATAAATTACTCTCCACTCTTCCATTAGAGTGCTTTTCCTGTTGGCTAACTAGAGCTTTGTTGAATGTATGCTTCTGGAAAAAGAGTAAAATTACACTATATTACTCAATTTAAATCTTTATATTTTTTTTCTTAGAGAACAGTAAATCAAATTTTTTTTCTTCATTTTGTTTTTATTATAGCAAAATGAAGGGAAAAATTTTCCTTCATAAAATAAAGTTTATTTCTGTTTGCTTAATTTACAACAAGCAGAAAATAAGCTGAGTCTTGCTTTGATCCAAATATTGATGTTTTAAAAGCGGTACACAATATTTGTTAAAGAGAACTATGAAATGCCTTTTTAGAAGCTTCTATAAGAAAAGTAGAAAGTTTAGCCCTACAGCTTTCCTCTCCGCTAGAACTGCAAACTACTGCTAGTTTTAAATACACTTTTTGTTGTTTATATATCCAGGAAAGTCTTAAAAAAGTAAAGAAACATACATATAAATGATTGCAGAGCAGAACAGAACATGAACTGCAAACACTAGAGAAATGAAAGAAATACTATCAAATATATAAAGGTCCTACAATCAACCCCTTAAGCACTTCCCACAAATAGTATTTAAAAACCATCGTTTTGTTCTCAGTCTAATGCTCTCCCAATAGAGTTATCTCAGCTTACTGCCATTGTTTTGTTCTCTACAGACAAAGCCTAGGTTACTAAAAACAATTGAAATAAGTAATCCTCTTAAAGGAGTTGCTTCTCCATAATTCTTACTTATATCTGTAAGCAAGCAATCTGAGATTTTAAAAGATGCTAGCTTTTTATCCAGAATGAAATTGTATATGTCAAGTCAGTTTTGTCCCCAAAACAATCTTTCAGAGAAATACTAGAAATTGTAAATGGTAAAGGGTATTATTTCTTTATTTTTAGTCAAGTACTACACTGGTAGTCAAAAATTCAAAAGATGTGACTCTTTCTTAAAACTGACTAATCTTTTTTTCCAAAATCATTTTAAATTTCATGGCACCACAGAATCACCTAGAATGAGCATGCTGTTTTTGAACTTGCCTCATGTTAAATAAACTGAGGTGTGAAATGCAAGCCTCCTACATAAAGAAACAGGCAAAT